CAAAAAGGTGGAAAGGAAAAACACTCTCCATTTTCTAGGGAAAAGGGTGTGTATCAAACACACCCTTATTAATTTCATTATTTCCCATAGGTAGGTGATGAAGCATATGAGGTGTAAGATCATGAAATACCAAACATTTTTTTCAACTCACAAAATTAAGAATGACGAAAATACATTTTTTTAAAATCAAGATATGTCTTTGAGTATTTTCCATTAGTAGGAACCATAAACTTGATGCAACTTGAACTTTTGTTTTACATATCTTATTGACTTTTTGATTATACTACTGTATCGCCTATATCGAAGGTTTTCATACAAGAAGTCTCATCATTAGTTTTTATTTTTAAACAAAACACCAATCTTAAATACATTCTCAACCGCCAAATATTCATTTAAAGAAGCAGCAAAAGCTTTAATATTTTCTCAACCTTCATCAAAGGTTGCTTTTGTTATTAAAAAAAACTCACTAATTGCTAGAGAAAAACATAAGTTGGGTAAAATCTGCTATGAGTTTCGATAGTCCATTTCAATGTATAAATTCAGAAATTTACTTGGAATAAAGAGTAAATATATGGTATCAGTAAACACAACAAAAACTTAAAGCAAACTCCATCGAACAAAACCTTGAAAGCAAGCACTAATATATCGAAACTACGAAAAATGACAATTTGTATCTACTTTCTAAAAGGGAAAGGCTATTAATTTGATCTCTAACATAAGCACTGAGTAAAAAATGGAAAAAAAATAGTTGTTGAATTAAAAGAGTCAGACTTGTTCCTTCTTGATTGCTGCATTGACTGGATCATTAGGATCATTCATAAATCTCTTCCAAAACCAGTGATCTCTCCAGACTTGTGTCATATCTTCAATCGGAATGTTCTTCGTCTCAGGCACGAAGAAGTAACAAAACACGGTCATCAGAACCACAAAGAATGCGAAGAAGATGAAGAGACCAAACTTCATTGTGCACAGCATCGAAAGGAACACCTGAGCTATTAAGAATGTGAAGAACATGTTTACTGCCACGTTAACACTCTGACCAGCTGACCTGATCTCCAATGAGAAAATTTCACTCGGATAAAGCCATCCCAACGGCCCCCAAGACCATGCAAAACCAGCAACATAGATGCAGATGCATATCACCACCACTATGGCAAACCACTGTGGTAGCTGTGTCACATCTCCCGTCACACCAAATTTGGCCCCAATAAGAGCTGCAACTGTGTTGGAATATTAAACTCAACTTACCAATACCAGCAAGACCATCTGATGAGGAATTAAGCATAGCAAACCAGCTTCACAGACGTTCCCAGCAGCAAGCCAATCTCTCCATTTCACCAGCCCCTCAAGTTCAGCAGTAGCTTCTCTCCAGTTCAGCCAGCAGCAAGTTGCACGAATTCAGCTTCTAGTTTCTTCTAGTTCCTACTAATGATAGATATCTTCTTAGTTTGTTACATAATT